GTTCACGATACACCGCCGAAACAGTGAATGCACAGTGATGGAATCAGGAACCTTCCTCCCCCAGGAATGTTCGTTGAATCGTTAATGAAAGTGTCCAACAATTGCGCGTACGTTTAAGTGTCTTCAATTTTAAAAGATGGACAGCCTCCATCGTACGTAGTAGCACAACTATTGCATACAAATAAGTAAGCACTCATCCATTTCACCTACGTCAAGCCTACAGGCTGCAATAGAGAGCTGCCACCTGTAACCAATTAAGCAGGCAAAACTACACAGTAGGCCCTACTAACACCACCACATAGCACTGGCAGTGGCCACTGCAGTGGCATACCTTTCCAAGGATTGTATAATAGGAGGATGTGACATCAATCAAACAAAGAAATTCGTCATTTACTAGCCTTCTTAATCACATTAACTATTTACTACGCTACTCATCCAACTTGAGCTCAAAATCGGACACAGTACATTTCGCGCCTCATCGTACCAAATCGTTTCTCGTAACACCGCAATCGCGAAATACAGCCTAATACCTACGACACGATTCTCCCATATCTTGCCAACTAATCGAACGCACAGCGCGCGCTATAATTCAAACAAAAGGCAGCTACTAACCACATCTGTCCACCGTCTTGCGCTTACGCGAGCGCTGTGGCTCGCAGGGAACTTTAAATCGATCTGCTGCGATAGCGATGGCGTGCGTGGCGTGTATGGGGGCATGCCAGCTTATGCGCCGCCATGCGTATAATAAGGCATTACATGTAAGCTGTGTACCGTCAAAGTTATCTCGCCGATGTTGCGTTGATGGCTATACCCTGCGATCACGCACAAGTGCCTCGCCGTGAGCGCAAGCCTGACATCTGTGTTTAAGTAGCGCCTTTTTGTTGAATTATCAGGCGCGCTCTACGGTTGATTAATGGCGCAAAGTATGAGAATCTGTCGTATTTTTAGGTTGTCTCTCGGATTGCGGTGTTACCGAGCAAGATTTCGTACGAATATGGGCGAATACTGTTCCGATTTGAGCCTCATTTGGAATGAGTTACGCGTATAATCGTAGGATTATAAAGCTATAAATAATGAACTTCCCTTGTTTATTGGTCACATACCCTCCCTAATATACCACTCCTGGTACAATTAACATACTGACAGTATAGAATGGCATAAGAAATAATCAACCGAAATTAAGGAGCAATAAACCTCTTCAAACCAAATTCTAGCTTTTGAATTTTCACATGGACATGTACCTCAATACATCGCAGGCATTATAGATTCTACTATAGCAAACCCGGCAGTCCAAATTCTTCTAAAGATCAGAAACAACTCCATGTTTACCCTCTCCTGAGGTCAAAAGGCTTATCCGACACTCTACTCTCGCATGCAGCAGAAAGGGACATTTCAATGTCCTTTCAATAAAAGCCATAAAATGCTAGGTCACCGCTGAAAAGAAAAAGTTTTCAATCGCTGCCGTAGAGCCATGTCCTCAGAAAATGTCTACAGATCTGCCCTTGCCCATTGACCTGTTGACCTGTGACCTTCCCAATTCGGCACAGTGATGGCTTCACTACCATGATGCGATACACCGACTACCACGAGCCTAGGTCGAGCCGTTTAGATTTGTGTCGCAATTCTGCCCATTTCCTCCCTATACTCTTAATAAGAGTGAATGTTCCCTTCTTTACATCTTGACGTTTGACCATCTGACGCACCCAGCTTCGACCTCCAACTCGTTTGACGATCCCCCCCAACGACCCTGAAATATCGTGCCCACGTCGAGCGTAAGATTGTGCCCAACTGTTTACGGACGATCGCGACGGACGGCCGACGCACGCACGCACGCATGCCGCACCGGACGAACGATCGTGCGATTCTAAAGCGCATCTCACTATGCAGATAGTCTAAAAAATGTACAATAACGGTGACAGTTTAAACTGCGCATCGCTAAAGTCTAAGTCAAAGGTCGGGAGGAGTTCTCCGTCCCAAAAATTGCGGAGTAAAAATTCGGTCGTGTGAAACGTGTGGTGAAGGCTGTTCAAACGGATCGTATTGGCTTAAAAAGACTTTTAGAGCATAAATTGACGCGTACAAGTGCATGCAGGGTCCCCGCAGGAGTAAATTCAAAACAGGGCGGCAGGGGAAGGGAAATAGGGGCAGGGGAGGGGAAAACTAGGGGGAGGGGGAGGGGGTGAACTAGGGGTCCCGGGGGGCGTGTATTTTACGTACTGACTAATAATGCGTAAAATCGCCACCAAGACCATACGACGGTATTCGGTCTTGATATATAACAGCATAGCCGAGTCGGGTAACAGTTAGTTAGCAGTTAACTGTGCTTGTCAGTTAACTTGCTGTACTGTCTGCATGCACTGCGGCTACGGAAAAATAGCACGCGTCGGGTGTCCTGGTCGAACGCAATCTTGACGGTTCGTTCCCCGCGCTGGCAAACCTTTTCATGTGGTGAATTAAACGGGCGGAGGTTAATTCAAACGGGCGCAACAGATCTCAAACAGGGGGGATTCCCAAACGGGGGCGCCCGCCCGTTTGCGCACGTAGGGAGAACCTGTCAGTTACTCAGCTCATCCATTTATCGTGTGCTCTATTCCCTGCTACGTGCACTGTTCTGTTGCGACACAAAAGGTAGCGACCTGCGTATTCAAGGCAACACGCAATCGAAGATAAACAACATGGCAAAGTTTAGCTCGCACATACCAGGCGTCGCGGAATCGCGAAACTACTGGCGCAAGACACATGGGCGCCAGAACTGTCATCGGTATAGCCGCACATGCTCTCCACAGCAATTACACACCAAAGCCAGTGAACGATGTTCACAAAAGTCGTGCCAATTTGTAAACAACTAATGATGACATGGTCCCGGAATTAGGGGTGGTTACATGAGGACCGCGCGCAGATCGTTTAATTTCCCTGTGTTGTAGTGCCGATTTTTGATTGTATGCCGATTCATTTGGTAATTCACATTGAAGTTCTTTGGCGATACCTTGGCAAATAATACAACTAACGTGTTTAGCTGCAGCCAATGTTTGAAACGGTCTTCTAACCCTAGCAAGACCGTTTCTTGGAGCTAGTAAACACCTTTCAAATACTCCTCTGCAACACACAAGTACATCGCACGCACGCTGCTGACTCAGACAACAAACTTATAGAGTTTTCGACCCTAACTGCAAGTTAATAAAATTTTATTAATAAAATTTCCCCACTGACATTCACTTTTAGGCTATATCTCGTAGTTAACAATATATCACACCACTCTCACTCTGTATTAAATGCTAAATATTACCTACTATTAGTATTAGCCTGCAATTAATGCTAGATCAAAATCCTCACGCAACGAATAATTTGTTAAGTTAAAGGCTCACAATGCGCATGCCAACACGCAATTCTCCAGACAAAACGTACAGTAAAGTACTTCGGCATGCCATAATCACACTACTATTCCACAGAAATAAACTCCTAGTTCCACCCATTCCACTGCCAGTTCTGCTTAAAACCCACAAGAAAAGAGGTGAGAAAACTGGCATTCTTGGGCAAACGCTAAATTTTTGAAACAACTAGCAACATGTGCTACCAGGGTGTTGAGCAAGGAATGTTTGTCCCGGTCTATATATGTAGCGTTTCACATTTTAAGATAGTTTGTAGTATGTGAACTGCATGTAATGTAACATCAAAATACTATTGAGAAAGTAAATAGGCAGCTGTAATGAAACGTGAAAATAATCGTATTCGACTCTTAAGCTATGCCCTATCTCTAACAGCGCGAACATTGCGCTAGAGCGTGCAAGCGAAAAACGCACACGGGCCGTAGAAATCTTTGCTACACCCGCTGGACGGTTGCCTGGCAGAGCAACGCAAACGTGTCAACAACATCGGAGAATTTGAAAAACATTGGAGCTATTTTCAAATACCTTTTATAAGACAACGCGCAGTGAAATGGGGGGAACTAGAGTTTATTTTGTCATAAGGTAGTGTGATTATGCATGCCACGAAGTATTTGCTAGTCTAGTACTGGAGAAATTAGCGTTTGGATGCGCATTGTGAGCCTTTAACAGTGTATGATCTACCCCTACTGAGTACTGGTAGTACTACTAGTACTACTACCACTTGCGAATGTAAATAAAATAGATTAGATATTAGATCACTATAGTCGCGAACATGTCAAGTTTCTTACCTTTATATTATTGTAGTCGTGGTTACCAAACGGGTATGGTGCCCAAGACACTCGCACACTGTTACGTATGCCTATAGGCTATGGCTATACTTTCTTGTCGTTTCCGTTTTTTCCTTTTCAGATTATACACTTTGTTCAACTACATTAGTTATTAATTGTTTCACACACAGTTGTGGTTACACAAGACTTGAAATGGTCTGGTTGATAATTTGCACGAAATGTCGCCCTAGTACGTTCACGGGCTACTGTTTTTGGTTATTTCAGTGCGCGAAAAACAAACGTTTTTTTTAGCTGTGAGCGAAACAAATCGTCAAATGCAAGACAACACATCCTTAATATAATTATAGCGATCACTCGACCTCATACGTATGAGCCACATGAAGTAAATGGAGAGCTTTAACAGTCTGTGAAGTTATGTACCTAAACAATATTCCACCGTTGAAAAATGCATTATTTTCTTAGTTTGAACACAAATATACACACTTAACGACTACGATGGCGGCCATTGAATGTTTTCTTCGCGCGGGGTCTCCGATTGTTCGCTCACGGAACGATTGGGAACTTTCTGGAACTAAAGGTGAAATTGGGAACTTGGTTTTAATACCAAAATAATATACGCATATGAACGCTCTCTGCCAGAACCATGCATACTTCTATCGCATTTAATACAGCGTATAATTGAATTAATAATAACAGATTCTTGTTATGCAAAAATGACGTTTTATAATTAAAATAATCATTTGAGTGTTCGTTTTTAGGAGTCGAATGAGATTACACACCCCTGTTGTTGCCCCCATGTAATGGACGCATGCGTGGCGCTGTGGTCGCCATTTGTTGTTGGAAATGTTCGTCGTCTATATTCATTCAAAATCCAGATGAGGGTTGAATCGATGCCTCGGGACTGCATCGTTTGGTAAGGAACATATAGTTGATAATTCACGAAATATATAAATGCATGTCAATTTGTTATATTACGATGAAAAATCTTCGTGTATAAATGCCTATTTCAGAAGAAAAAACAAGTGAACAGTCATATTATTTGATAGTTGATTGAGCTACAGCTGATCTTGATGTAGCTCTACTCTAGTCTCTCTACTACTCCAGCCCGCGTACAGTTGCCGGAGAATTCTAACGTGCAATTTTTTTTGTACAACAAATTCCCTGCAGCACACGCACCATATTTCGTCGCAAATAATATTTGCGCTGGAGTGGGTTCCCAGAGCCTGGCAGAGTTATGTAAAACTCCTGCCATTTCATGACATTGACAGTTTTCATTGAACGCTGTGGCTATATGCCCGGCAGCCGGGCACGGTCTTCGTTTTCCTAAACGCTGTGGCTATATGCCCGGCAGCCGGGCACGGTCTTCGTTTTCCTAAATGCCCGGCAGTTCTTAACCCTAACTCTAACCCTAACCCTAAACCTAACAAAAACCCTAACTCTAGCCCTAAACCTAACCCTAACCCTAACCCTAACCCTAACTCTAACCCTAACCCTAAACCTAACAAAAACCCTAACTCTAGCCCTAAACCTAACCCTAACCCTAACCCTAACCCTAACTCTAACAAAAACCCTAACTC